TTTTTTCTTTCTTTGGGTCCGTGTTCGGCCGGAACGCCGAACGCATCCCCAAGGGGTCCCATACGTTCGGGCGTTCGGGTTCGGGCGTTCGCCCCGTCCCAAACGCCGGTTACCCTGGTAACGAGTGTATTTTGCCACCCTTGGTGGGCAGATGCACTCTTTTTGTTTTCTTTTCGTCTGTCGTGCCGCGAGACCCTATTACAGGAACCCCGTAGCAGCCACGTCCGTGCTCAAGCCTCGAAAGAGGGAACATGCGAGAGCTGCACCCAGAAGCAGCAGGTGCGACACCTGCTACAGCAGGTGGGCGATACAGGCCAGGGGTCAGCCTGATGGTAGCATCAGGACCCAGCTTCTTCGATGGGCCAGTCACTGTGCCTCCCCTCAGGTGGTGGTCCCCTCCCCCTATCAACATCAGCAGTCGCTGCTCAATGCCACTCAGGGGGACCAAAGGCATATCTCTAGGTGGCGGGTGCCAAGCTTGCCCAGGAAGGTGCATGAGGGCAAAATGGGGATTGAACCAAAGACCTCCTGAATGCCACTTGCGTGCCTCTTTTTTTTTTTTTTTTTTTTTTTTTTTGTAATTCACTTGCGTGCCCTACCAACTGAGCTAGGCCTCTGGATTGCTTCACAGGATTTTAGCCAAACAGTCATTGGGAGGATGCCAAGTCCCACTTGGTACCCCAAATCTCAACTTCTGACGGTAGATCAGCGGGCAGAAATGAAGAATCAGGGTACTAACTGGGACCTGGCCCCGGGGGCCAAGTCCCACTAGCATTGCTCTTGTTCCTGTCTTCAGAGCGGGCGGCGTTGTGCGGCCTTAGGGCCTCGCCACACCACTGTCGAAATGAAAAAAGTACGAGTGCACCTTCCTCAGAAAGTGGCAAGATACATCGGTTGCTATGCATAGTAATGGATGCATCTGGTCACAGGCGGCGGGCGTGAACATGCACTTGTACCTTTTTCCGATTCGACAGTGGTGTGGCGAGATCCTTATTTTCTACGTGGGGGAACAATAAGTTCCAACTGTGTAGCGCGTACAGTTCTTCCACATGGAGTACAATACAACTACACAGTTCTTCCACATGGAGTACAATACAAAAATAACAAAAATTAACCCAGAGGAAGCTGCCCCCGTCGTCGCCGGGGCCAAGGTCCCACTTACAAGGATTAGAAGATTTCTGTCGTTGATCTCTGCTATCTACGGTCAGTATCTCTTAATTCGTGCAAGTGGGACCTAGCCCCGGGTATGGGGTATCATCATGAATTAATGACCCCAGCTGCAGTGAGCTGGACATTCACAGAAGACAAAACATATGGAAGTGCATCTTTCCATGTTGTTGCGGAAAGTTCATTGTCGAATTCCACCTTTGGAGAGCAGTGCTGACAGGCCCCATGGTAAAGACTTTCCTTGCTGGAACAGACGTGGCCATCTGGTGATGCGGTTTTTTTTTTTTTTTTTTTTTTTTTTCCCCTCTCCCTTTTTGTTTCTGGTTCATCATCACGGCCGCATCTTATTTTTTTTATTTTTTTTTTTATACAAAACGGCCGCATCTGAAACGGGAGTGGTGTTTGTGAGCAATTCATGGCCTTTTTTTCTTTTTCAAACACACTTTTCATGCATGTAAACAGCACGCAGCATACTGGCAACATGCGCCCTCTCTAAACTCTGAGATATGGCTTTCAGATACGAGTTCACTCTCAATTGGCTATGGCGACTTCAGCGCCAAAACATCTCACTGTTCACATACACTGGATCACCCTGGATATCCTACACGCATCACTCTGAACACTCGACACACACACACACACACACTCTCTACTAACTACAGCTATGGCAGCTATGGCTGCCTCTAACCTATCGCTAACTAACTCCTCCTCTCTGCCCACTGCGACCTCCGGGCTCATCTGCAGACCTCCTTGCACAAGGCGCTGTGGCAGCGTTTCCGCATGGCTCCCCCAGGAATGAATGAATGGCTGGGCGCTGCCTCTTGATTTATACTTCAGAAACTCGTTGGTCTGCCCTTTACCATCGGCCCATGGTGTTTACAGTCCCCCTGTGGTACTTGCTGGACCGGACTGGGACTGACTGGACCTTCCGCTGACTGACTGTGGACTCACCGCTATCCTACCGACGCTGTACTGCTGTTGCACTGCGGTTTAGTCCACCACTTGCCTCACCACTTGACCACTTGCCCACTTGCCTACCTTCTAGGTCTACAGCTAAGCTTCCGGAACTCACTAAGACTCCTACGCTATAGACCTACAGATTGAACCCCTGCTGCCTATGGACCTACGACATGCCTACCAACTGCCTACGAATACACAGGTCACAGGTTCAATTCCCGGGGTCTACACAGATACTGTACATGGGTAGGGTGAGGTCTAGGGATCGAACCCTGGGTACTGCATCCGCTACGGCTAAAAGGTGAAAACCGTTTCACTCTCGCCGTCCTAAATTCGAGGTCCTCCGAGAACATTTCAAATCAAGGCGGGACCTTTACCTTTCTTGTCACGTTCATAGGCTCTGACTATGTCGGGAGCGGTTTCCAGAAGTTCTGTTTTCGTGAACCAGGGGTCGTCTTCCGGTTCCTGATAAGCAAAATGGACCTTATATTGTTTCTGGGGACGACCTCTACCTCCTGTTCTGAACACATCCTCATCTACAATGCCTTCAATGTCATAACTTCCATCCATATCTGGTGGGATCATGGATCTCCTGGAAGGGAACTGTTGACTTGTGACACACGGCAGCAGCTTTAAGGCATGAAACACAGGGTATGTGTGGAGGTGTGCTGGAATCTCAATGCTGTAGGACGGTCCACCCTCTCCGCCCTTGACTTCTACAACCGGCCACGGTCCTCTATATGCAGGCAGTAACTTCTGCAAGATGTTTTCTTCAGGTGCAAACTCTTTTGCTTTGACCCAGACTAAATCGCCTACCTGAAACTGCTATGGGCGTCGGTGCTTGTTAGCCTGTTCTATCATTCTATGCTGGGCCTTCCGAAGGTTCTCAACAACAGTGGCTAATTGCTTTTCGTGCTGTATCGCAAACTCCCTGGTACCGGGCGGTAATCTATGAATCTGATCCCGGTTCAGTCCTTCGAACGGTCTGCACGGTCTAAAGGACTTGTGCAACTCATTGGGCGTGCGGCAGGTGGATAGATGCACGCTGTTGTTGTATGCACTAGCTACCTTAGGCAACATCTCATCCCAGTTAATCTGATCTGGTMTAATGTACATGCRCAGAACTTGCTGTAGGATCTTGTTCATCTGTTTTGTCTGACCGTTAGTCTCTGGGTGACGGCCGGACGACATTAACAACTTAAATCCGTAGACTCTCACGAGTTATTGCCAGTTCTGGCTGGTGAAACGACTATCTCTATCACTAACTATTGACAATGGGATTCCATTCTCACTAACCCAAAAGTCAAAGAACTTTTGTATTACTAAATCTGTACGTGCCTCTGCAGGCAAGGAACAAAAACTGCATACTTACTAAAACGGTCAACTACGACCATGACTTGGCTCTTACCATGTCTACTGGGTGTCCATGAAGTCTATGGACACGGAGTCTCCCGATTGATCCGGAATAGGCAAGGGTCTGAGAAGACCTAGGGGCGCGCGTGTAGATTTATTCCTCTGACACACTTTACAACTGCGGATATACTCTATGCAGTCGTTCTTCATCCCTGGCCAGGTATACGCACGCATTATGTTGGCTAATGTCTTTTGCCAACCGAAATGCCCTTCAGTATCGTGACATTCTCCTAAAATCAAACTGCGGATCTCTTCGCTGTTGGGAACGCACAGGCAGTCAAACACATTAGTCTTCTCAAACAGCAATCCGTCAGTAGTGCGGTAATCTGGTTCGGTCTCTGGGGCCTCTCAACTCTCTTTAGGAGGTTGCTATAGATAGGGTCCTGCGTATACGCTTGTTTCACTTTCTCCTGTAGGTCTCTTCCTATATCCAGATAATGTACTACGACTCCAAAGTAGTCTGATCTCCTACTTTGAGCATCCGCCACTACATTGTACTTGCCCTTCACTGGCTTGAGCTCAAAGTCGAATTGGTCTATCTCTGCGGCCCACTTGGTCAACTTAGGTGTCATCTTGGCCTGAGTCTTTAACCATCTAAGCGTTTCGTGGTCCGAATATACTTCGAAGTGTCTCCCAAGCAGGAAGTGCTTCCAATGATATAAAGCCTGCTTGAGAGCGTAGAGTTCTCTCTCGTACGTGGAGACAGCAATGTTCTCACAAAATTTTTTACGTTCGTCGGGTCACCACAGAATACACACTGACCCATGTTCACTCTTTCTTGCCATAATCGCTGGTCCAAGCCCAAGTCTTCCCAGGGTCTGCCCTGCGGCAAGCCTGGATGCCATCCTCCTTGAGGTGCCCTTCCACCTCCTCGCTGCGGGGACCGGTTACCCTGGCAATTTAACGGGGGACCTTGACCCCTACCTCCCGCTTGGTGGTTTCCCTGTCCGCCAACCCCCTGTGCGCCCGGTCCTCGGCCTCCCATGGCCTGGCCCCTTTGGCCCTGGCCTCCTCCTTTACCTTGCGGCCTCCCTCCGGCCGCGACAGCAGCGTAAGACCTCTCCTGCCCTACACTACTGTACTCCTCCCCTAGGCCCCACTCAATCTGATCATATGGGACCTCTTCTGTACCACCCTCCTCTAATGTCAGGATCAAGTGATTCTTGGCCTTGACTTGGCCCGAGATGGTACGATCTTTGCACTTCTTCCTCTTCTCCAGGTCCTTACGCCAGAAAGTGGTAACTGGCATAGACTTCGACTCGTACAGGACGACTTCTCTTCTCAATGCATCGTAAGTCATGTCGGCCTGCTGAAATTTGTCAAAGAAATGCGTGCGTAGGGCCCCCGGAATGGCACGATAAAACAACTGGACCAGCTGGGGCTCAGTGACCTCGTGGTCCGGGATGACTACCAAGTCGTTCATAGTACCCTTGAGTGCCTTGGCACTCCTCCACTGTCGGGAGTAGATCGTTTGGAGCTTGTCAGAGGCTCTAATGCCTCACGTTGGGTCAGCGAACCGCTCCTTGAGGGGCTTGAGGAATTGGGAAAGAGGAATGACTTTGGAATATGTAGCCAGGTTGTTTTCACAACCAGCTGTACGCGCAAGAGACCTGGCAAAGCTAGCCGCTTCATCTTTGAGGGCCTGGAAGGCCACAAGGACTTGTTCCTCGGCCAGGATATGCTGCAAGTAAATATAACTATTGACACTGGCTTCCCAGTTGCCAAAGTTTTCTTCCTTCTTTCCCCCGTACGCATCCRGAAACTTAAGCTTCACTGGGTCCTTACGGGACCTGGCCTCTCCCTCTGCGGCGGCTACATCTTTGGCACCCTCAATGACGCCCTCACAAAACTTCCCTACATTGTCTCTCAACTGTTTGACTTCGCCCCCAATATGGGTGACGATCTCGCGCGCAAAGTCTCGAAACCCTGACCGCATGGCACTCAAGCCTATATCTTGGCTCCAACTTGCTTGGCGCTCTTCCATCCAGGCCTTGCTCAACACCTTTAGATAGCCCAGTACCTTGTCATACTTGGCCTTATCATCTGGCTGGGCCAGCACCTCCACTCTACACTCCTGCACCTTTGCCACTGCTGCGGTCATCTTATTCACTTCCTCTCTCCTCCTCCTCTTCTTCGTCTTCATTCTCAACTTCCATGCTAACTTTTGCTCGTCTTCCCTCTCTCTCGCCTCCTTGTCTTCCCCCAACGATAAATTAACGACCCACTCGCTGATCTTCTTTTCCAGCTCAGTATTTGTCTCCCACTTCATCGTGCCACCACTGCTCCCTTCTCCACTCTCAATTCTCATTCTCTCTTTCTCTTCTTCTGCTGCCGCTTCTGCTTCAATAGCCTTCCTTCTTTCTTCCTCCTCCTGTTGTACCCTCTTCATCTCCTCCTCCAACCTCTTCATCTTCTCCGCCTGCTCATCTGCGATAGCCTTTAGCTTCGTCTGCTTCTAGCGCTCTTTTTTCTCCCTATTCTCTCTGACTAAGGCAGTCATCTTTTCTTGTTGCTCCTTGCTATAGGGGTTAGTCTCTAGCCCAGTACGGGTCTCAACCATGGTGATAGGTGCACAATCAGGATGATTCCACTCCTCACCACGTAGACTCTAACCCCTGGCTAACAAACCTGTAGACTCAATCTAAGAACCCACAGAATCCTGACAAGGACCCTGTCAACTATGGTCTCTAGCCTAGACCTATGCTATGACTGTCACTACTGAACCAGTGGCTGATCAGGAGGCATTTAAGGAGATCCCCCGTAACTCCTCCATAATTCTTTAACGTCGCAGAAAGGACGACGTGATCAACTTGGTTCTGCCTGTGCTTTCAGCCCACAACTCTGCCTTTCCGCCCTACTGTGCCACACCGAGTAGCCCGCCGGTCTGTACCGGTCCTTGGGAGGGTTCGTATCCCCCGGGACAGTCAAGTCGTCAGACACAGATCATCAACCTTACTTGGTCAGGTAGGGGAGTGGTTCGAACAGGCCCTCAACACTTAAAAACGGCCTCCGTTTCAGCCTGCAGCTCAGAGTTCGGACCCTCTACACTGAAACTGAGCAGACCTGCCGGACAGTATCGGTCATTGGGCTAGACGAGTTGTTTAACGAGCGCTTGCCGCTTATGCCCAGGTCTCCAGATACCAGAGTAGAGATTGGTCCTACTAAGTCTCGTGCAGGTTTGGCAGCAAGGCCCTATCCTTCATCCACAGAGTTCTATGACCTAGGACAGAAGAGACTCAATGCAGAAAGAATAGACAGACAGACTGTACTCAGCAAGTACCAATGGGTATGTGCACATCCGTAGGGCAAGGGACAGGCTAAGGGCTTGACGGGATGTTACCAACTCCAGCTTGGTCAATGTCTTGGTCAACGCCTCGGTCAACGCCACTCAACGCTGCTATGACCCTCGGTCAACTTCGGTCAACTCCGGTCAACGCCTCCRGTCAACCCTCTCGGTCAACTCCCCGGTCAGCTATGGCTGTCGGCACTTCTTCCTCGCCAATCCCCTTCTTCTTCCTTACCTCCCTCGCC